AGCCCACCCAGCCCTGCCCCCAGCACCCACTTCCCCTTCCAGATGATGACCCAGGAAGGCAGGGGCCACATCCTTTCCTAGACTGCATTTCCCCTCCCTCGCCTCCCTCACAGGGGGTGGCCTTATCCCTCCAGAGATGGGGTGGACCCGGCAGCTGCCCCTCACCCTGACCCCTACTGGCCCCCAGCAACATCAGGCTCTAGACATTCCCTCTCGTCCCCTTTCCTGATCCTCCCAAGAAGCCAGGCTTCCCCAGGGCATCACACACTCTCTGAGCCTGGTCTGCCCTTCCTGCCCTTCTCTAGCTGACCAGATCTCAGCTGTTGCCTCCTCATGAATGTCCCTGGGTTAGGAGCAGAAATTGAGCCTTGGTCATCTCTGTACCCTAGGCTGGTCCACTGCTTGGCACAGACAGATGGATGAATGAATGAACAAACGAAGGAGGAAGTTAGTCAGGTCCAATCAGATTTGTAGGCTAGGCACTGCACTGGTCACAAAAGCTAGCACCTGACAGGTGGCCCCACTCACACTTACACGTGAAGAGCCCCTTCCCCAGACCCAGGGGTGGGGACCAGATCTGGGCACTGAGCTCATGTGCTGTGTGACATTGGGCAGCCTGATCTATACCGAGTTCTCACTTCCCAGAGCAGCACCTGGAGCAGTCTACCTGTTCTCAGAGCACAAGTCCTAAGGTGGACTCGAGCCAGGTGGCCTGGGTTCAAATCCTGACCCTCCCCCTCGCTGCCTGTGTGACCTTGGGTGGTCTCTGAGCTCCAAGTCCCCGCCCCTAGTGGGAAGAGCTTCAGAGCCTGTCTCACGGAATCCTTCCGAATATTCACCAAGATGGGGCTGGGCAAGAGCCGTCCACGGAAAGTACCGAGCACACACGAGTCATAAGCAGGTTTGCGGTCCTTGCTGTGCGTCTGCAGGGCCGGGACGTGTTTGTGCGCACACATCAACTACGTGTGTCGGGGCAGGAGCCTCGGAGCGCCCCGGATGCAGGTTCTGAGGTTCCACACCGCACGCAGGACTGTGCCCGGGAGCCCGCGGCGGTGGGGAAGGTGTGCGCATGTGCGAGGTGCCTGCTTCATCCCAGGCCTGGAGCTGGGGCGCAAACTTCCACCCACGCAGCTTGTGTTCCCCACCGCTGGCCCTTCCGAGGCTTGGACTGCCACAGCGGGGACTGAGAGAAACTGAGGCAATCCCATCAGGATGCACTGAGCTTCCAGGGACACCCCACCCCACCCCCCAGAAACGCCACCGCTACACATGCGCGCTCCCCAGGGGACCATCCTGGAAATGGGCCGGACTTTCTGGGACTGGAGCCAGAAAGGGGCCATACCCTTAAGGGTCTGGGGAGGTGGCCTCCTTTAAACAGAGAGTTTAGGGTTCTGAGTGATCACTGCGCCGCAGAGCCTGTCGCAAAGCTGAGGCCCAAGGTCACGCGGTGGGGGAGGAGCCCGCCCAGAGTCCAGGGCGCTAACTGCTGGCCACGCTCCTCCCCCGCGCTGATGCGTTTCTGGAAATCACCCCACTTCTACTTTCCAAAATGAGTCAAGAACATCTGTACCTCCAGGGCCAAAAATACTCCCAGGGACTCCCAGGCAAAGAGGCTGACATCTTTCTGGGGTGTCCAAAAGCAGAACTCGGGCTTCCTGGGAACTCATAAGAACCAGGACATTTTAAGCCAGGTGCTGGTCTTGCTACCCTTGCAAGACCAGGTGACTAGGCCTCATTTGACAAAACTCACACCTAGGGCCCAGAGGAGTTGCCAGGATCACGCGGCAGCCCTGGTTCCCACACTTGGCTACCTCCTCCTTCCAAAGGCTAGCTTCCCCCGCACCTGGGCAGATCTTAAACAGTACTAACCCTCATGCCCCAAATCCAAATGCCTTTTTCCCATTTTTAGCGTCTTTACTATAAAAGGGACAATGCATGCTTACTCATGAAAATCTGAAAAAAATGCAGAAAAGTCAAAATAAGGAAGAAAAATCACCACCCACGGCTCCAGCACCCAGAGACAATCATTGTTGAGGTTTGATGCATTTCCTCCCATAGTTTTTTGTTGGAGCACTTTTTTAAAAACACAGCTGAGATCATACTGAATATTAAATGAAAAAGGCAAAACGGCAGTAGCCTGCTTTTTTTCTGACCTGCCATTATATCATGGCCTTTTCCTCCTGGTGTCATTTTCCTTTCTCCAGAGCTCAATTTTATTGGCTGCCTAATATTTTGTCAAGTGGAAGTTCCATAGTTTATGTAGCCATACCCTTATTGTTGGACATCTCGGTTATTTCCAGTTTTTCGAAGTTATAAATAATAGAGTCTGATTGATATCTTTGGGCAGAAAGCGCTGTGTTTTCCATATTTAGGGAGAGCTCTTTGGCGCGGATGGAATTACGGGGTTAGTGAGTCATCTCTGCCCTGTTGCAAAGAGGACACTGAGGTCCAGGAGGGTTGAATGACTTGTTCAAGGTCACACAGCAGTGGGGGGATTGGTGCTTTTGGTCCAGTGGGCCTGGGAGGGCCTGAGCCACACCCATTCTATAGAAGAAAAAAGAGATACCCCCAGAGGTGATGGCCAATCAGCAGTGCCCACCCTTCTTTCTCTGCAACACATCCCTCTCCATCACTGTGCTCTCTCTGATCATTCATTCGTTCATTCAGTTTGCTGCAACCAATAAGAGGGACCCGTGTGCCCAGCTCAGGTCTAGGCCAAGATGCTGCAGATAAACAACAAAGCCCTGTCCTCAAAGTGCTCCCACCTACAAGGCAGGAAGGGAAGGAGCAAATAGGAAGGAGGCCAAGTGCCTGCCACCTCCTTGGCCTTTGGTTATATGCAAATCTGGGTGCTCATTTGCATATCACTTTATTTGCATGTCACCCAGGCAGAAGCCAGAGGGCCAAGGTGACTCTGGCAGCTCCCAGGGCAAGAGGCCAGGTTTTCTGTGGTCCGGACTGTTCTCCAACATCAGGCCTTCCCTTACAAATCGGGAGATGTCCCCAGAGCCTGTGTTTCCTGGTTGTCCTGGACACTGCAGACAGAGCCACTTCATTCCCATTCCCAGAGGTCCCCGAGGGCCTGTGACCCTCTGTCCAGACCACGTCCTGCCACCTCCTGCACCTTGTGCTCAGCCCCTTGGGGTCCTTCTTGAAAACATGGGTGCAGTCCATGGGCCTTGGTGATGTGAACCAGCTGGAGGGACAGGTGACAAGGAGGTGAAGCCACTCAGCTGAGATGACGAGCTGCAAGAGGCAGAGGATCTGAAGGGGAGTGGCCAGGCTCCCAAGGGCACCAGGCCAGCAGTCCCAGGCAAAAGGGACAGGTATGGGGCCTGTCACAGACAGGGGACGCTCAGAGGGTCCCCACTGAGACAGCAGGCTGGGAGCTGGAACTTAAATGTTGGCTGGAGACTTCCTGCTCTCTCACAAGGGTCTCCTCTGCCAGAACACCTTCGCTTCTCCGCTCCCTTGCTCTACTGATCTCTCACCTCCTCCAGGAAGCCCTACAGCTGGTTCTGAGCCCTGGTCCAGCCTAGAGGGGCACAGACCTGGCTGGGACAGGGAGTCCCCACTGCCACCCACAGGAGACCCTGACTCCTACCACACTGCCTCCTCCCCTCCCCGCTTGGCTCTGTGTGGGCTAGAAGATGAGGGAGGAAAAGCCAGGTCTGCGGTCCTTGCTGTGCGTCTTTGGGGCCGGGACATGTTTGTGCGCACACATCTACTACGTGTGTCGGGGTTAGGGTTAGGGTTGGGGTTAGTGATGGTCCTGGGAACCCCAATTCTACACATGTCCCCAGCTTCCATTTTACTGGCTTTGCATCCTTGGCCCTTGGTCAGGGTCCACTCCTCCCAATAAAGTGACCCAGTGGCCCACCTGGCCTACTTCCTTCCCCCTTAAAGGGCCAGCATGGGTCTTCTGCCCTGCACCCAGCCAGGACAAGGGCTTCAGCCTTCCCCGCAGAGACTGCCTTCCGCAGTCCGTGGAGGGAAGGCAGTTTCCTGGCCTGAACAATGGGGCCAGGATGTCCCTCAGCCTCTAGTGTACCAGGGACATCTGACAAGGATACTGTCACTCAGGGAGCACAGGGGGTGGAGGCAGGAGAGAGGTACAGCAGAAACAGATTGGGAATACTCCTGGCTTTGGGACCCTGAGCAAGGGGCTCAACTTTGCAGGGCCTCCGTTTTCCCCTCTGTGAAATGGAGTGACAGAACATCTGCCCCAGCCAGGTGTGGTGGCGCACGCCTGTAATCTCAGCATGTGGGAGGCTGGAGCAGAAGGGTCATTGCAAGTTCAAGACCAGCTGGGCTACAAAATTAACTCAAGGCCAGCCAGAACTTCATAGTGAGACCCTTTCTCAAAAAGCAAGAGAGCAAGCGAGCAAGAAAGAAAGAACATCTCCCCTACACAGTGGTATGAGATTGTCCAGGCTTGGTGAAACCAGGCAGCAGGCTGCAGGGGTTACATACAGACTTAGCCACCACCTGCCTGGGGGAGAATCTCGAGCTGCTGTTGGCAGCTGGGTGGCCTTGGACAACTTACTTAACCTTGCTGTGCCTTTTCCTCATCCGTGAAGAGAGCAGAGCAATAGGCCTTCTGCAGAGGGCGTTTGAGCATGCACAGAGCTAACACAGGTAAGGAGCTGTGAGAACATGCCCGACCCCTTGCCATGTGCCCATCACCGGCAGCTGTCACCGAGTGTCCCATCGCTGTTGTAACAGATGACCACAGGCTTGGTGCCGTGGTTTGAGGATAGCTTGTCCCCATGACAACCCATGCTAGGGCTTGGTCACTGATGTGATTCAGTCACCAGGAAGGATTAATGCCTTTCCACAGAACTGGGTTAATCTTGAGCGATGAGTTCTGCTCTTGCTACCCCTGAGAACAGGTTTTCAAAAAAAAAAAAAAGAGAACAGGTTTTCACCCAGCAGGGCTGCCCCTTGGGTTTCTCACTCCCACCCACATGAGCTTGCCTTTCCATGTTTCCTCTGTGCAGGACCAGCATGAGGCCAAGACACCTCAAGACACTCCCCAGGGGCCGAGCAAGGGCCAGTGCTGTGCCCTGGGACTTCCTGGCCTCCAGAACTGCGAGCCAAACAATCCTCTTCAGAAACTACCCAGTGTCAGGTGACTTATGCCTTTTTTTGTGGGGGCAGGGGGGATTGACCTCAGGCCCTTTGCACTGAGCTACATCCCCCAGCCCTTTTATTTATTTTATTTTATTTTACTTTATTTTTTTGAGACAGGATCTCACTAGTTTCCCAGGCTGAGTCCAAACTTCCAATCTGGCCTCAACATTGCAGAGTTCTGGGATTGCAGGCATGCTCCACCACATTGACCTAGCGTACACACTTTTATCTCTTGGTTCTGAAGGCCTGGGTGCCGGCAGAACTGTGCTCCTCCTGCAGGGTTGGAGGAGAATCTGTACCTTTGCCTTCTCCGCTTCTAGAGGCCACCTGGATCCCTCGGGCTGTGGCCTCTCCCTCCATCTTCCCAGCCCACAGCCAAGTGTCTTCAAATCCACCCTCTGATTTCTCCCCTGCTGTCATGTCTCCTCTCCAACTCTGAGCTGCTCCCCTCCCTCTATTCTGTTTAACTCTTCATTTTGAAGAACTTGGATTTATATAAGAGCAGTAAGGTTAGTTCAGGAGACTCCCCTCTACCCTTCACCCGACTTTCCTGATGTCGATTCCCTGCACAACCTTGGTGTGTAGAACCGCACCCATTCTTTTTTTTTTTGGTTTTTCTCCGGTACCAGGAACCGAACTCACGACCTTGCGCTTGCCAGGCAGGCGCTTTTGCCGCTGAGCTAAATCCCCAGCCCTCGCACCCATTCGACCCTATAAAAACACAGACTTGATTCGGACCCCACCAGTATTCTTTGCCTCTTCCAGGGTCCAGCCAGGACCCTGTGACATCTGGTCATCAAGTGGCCTCAGTCCCCTCCATATGCGATGATCTCAACACTTTTCAAGGCATACTGGCTGAGTATTTTGTAGAATGTCCTCCATTTGGGCTTGGGTTTTTTTTTTTATTTGTTTGTTTACTTGTTTGTTTGTTTGTTGTCTTTTTGAGACAGGGTTTCTCTATGCAGTTCAGCCTGGCCTTAAGCTCACTTTGTAGCTGAGGTTGCTCTCGAGCTCACAGCAATCCTCTGCCTCAGCCTCTTGAGTGCTGGTGTTACAGGCATGCACCACCACACCTGGCATTGTTATTTTTTTGAGACAGAATCTCACTATATAGTTCAGTCCGGCCTTGAACTCAAAGCCGCCTGAGGGCTGGGATTATAGGCGTATGCCACCATGGTTCCATTTCTGTTTTTTAAATAGCTGTATTGAGATCAGCTATCATTTCTATGCTCTACAACTCATCCACTTAAGATCTATGGTTCAGCGGGGCGTGATGGCATATGCCTGTAATCCCAGCACTCGGGAGGCTGAGGCAGGAGGATCTGTTGTGAGTTCGAGACCAGCCTGGGCTACAAAGTGAGCTCAAGGCCAGCCTGAACTGCATAGCGAGACCCTGTCTCAAAAAGACAAAAAGCCAAACCAAAACAAAACAAAACAAAAATCCTAAAATCTATGGTTCAGTAAGATTGGATTTATTCTTAGTTAGTTAGTTAGTTAGTTATTGCAGTACTGGGAATTGAACCCCTCTGAGCTACCTCCCAGCCCTGTTTTCTATTTTTATTTTGAGATAGGTTTTCATTAGGTCACTAAATTGCCCAGACTGGGCTTGAAATTTTGGTCCTCCTACCTCAGCCTCCCAGAGTGCTGGGATTACAGGTATTCACCACCAAGCCCAACTCCATCATTGATTTTTCATGGTGGTAGCAGGTATATAGGATCTTTAAGTGTGCAGCTCAGTTTGCCTCTCTCTTTTATGACCTCATATTTACTCGAGACCCCCTGGATGACCCAAGACCACCTCTCACCTCAAGCCCTTAACCACATCTGCAGAACCGCTGGTGCCACGTGACGTGCTGTGAGGACCAGGAAGCAGACTCTCTCCCAGCCACGGACCCTCATGCCTGCGAGTGCCAGTGTCCTGCTGGAGTCAGGCTCTCTGAACTCAAGGCCCAGCCGGGCCTGCTCAAGGCTGCGTCCCTAGCCCCTAGAACAAGGCCCAGGACACTGGATCCCCACATGCACCGCGCACGCTCTACTCCCAACACAAAATAGCCGTTGTTGGGGAAGTGGCCAAACCCAGCAACGCCTTCTGTTCCCCTCACCTGCGGCGGCACTGTACATGGCTTTTCTGTCCCTCTGCCTGCAGCATGAGCCACTCTCAGGCCCATTTCACAGCTGAGGATCTGAGGGTCCCACGGCCACGCAGGAGGCATGTGTGACACAGGTATCTCCGCCTCCCAGCTCCTGGCTGTGACACGGTGACACTGGGACACCTAGGCTGGGGATCATGGAAGCCGCTGCAGGTTGCTGAAATCCACCTGGCCATGCGGCCTACTCCCAGTCCTGAAAGCCCTCACCCTCGCCCTGGACCTGGCAGAGGGTGGCTGCCTGTGCCAGCCGGTGGTTCCCAGTACCCAGATTGCTCAGTGACAGGCCACACTGGTGGGACAGCTGTGAAATCTCCCGGACTATGTTCTGGGGCGTAGTAGATGCTCAGTGAGCACATGGGGGTGGTGACAGTCCTGGGGTCCTCCCCACCTCTGAGCCCTTGCCCACCCCTTGCCCCTGCTGTGGCTCAGGAGGAAAGGCACCTAGCCCTCAGGTGGTGCCCCTGTTCCCCTGGGGGGCTGGGAGTGTGCAGGCATTGGGGCAGAACAAGAGGGCTTTGAGGCGCCTATTCCGGAGGGAAGTGGGACGATAACAACCTCTCATGTTCCCGCTGTCCTAGCACAGATAACCCAGGAGGAGCCAGGCCCGGGGCTGCTCTCAGCACGGCCACCTACCTGCCCCCAGGTCTCCCACGACCACACTATCGCAGACTCCAGCCTGAAACCCAAGGAGCCGCATGGAAGAGCAGCCGAGACAAGCAGGTGATAAGCCGGGCAGGGCTGTGGGGGCCTCTTCAGCATCCCTTGGACAATGGCTTCCAGGTAGCAGCCATCCCTTCCCTAAGCTTGGTGCCCCGTCCACCCTCACCCTCATCCACCCCTGCACCCCAGAGCTGCCAGGACATACAGCATCCCCTGGCGGCCGATACCACCCAGGGCCTTCCCTGAGCAGTGAAGAAGCCAAAAGCAAAGAAGTTTAGGGTCTTAAAGAAAATCACATGGCGTTTTTTTCAGTACTGGGCATTAAACCCAGCACCTTTACACTGAGCTACCTTCCCAGCCCTTCTAAATTACTAAGTTTCTCAGGTGGGCTTGATGCCATCCTCCTGCCTCAGCCTCACAAAGCACTGGGATGACAGGCATGTGCCACCCTGCCTGGCTGCCTCACAGCATTTTGATAGCAGGATGAAGGAGACTCGAACTCAGACCCCCACTGATTCTCTTCAGCACACCAGAATTCTGCCCTAAAATACTGGTCAAATACAGAGAGGCAGGCTTGCGCATTAAAGAACTCCAGGTCTAAATTCCAGTGCAAGGGTGGGATTTGGTCTCCTCAGATCCCACAACCCCTCCCCACCACCCTTCACCTTAGGCCCTTGTCAAGTTGGAGGACCTTTGTCCCCGGCCTTCCTGGGCCACTTGGAACCTCAGTTTCCTCACTATGGGTGTTGCTGATAACAGTTCTGGTCTCGGGGGGCGGTTGGAGGATTAAATAAGAGGCTGTCTCCTGGATGGACTTTTCTCCAGGAGAGATGTGTGCCAGGGTGCTCTGCGGGCTGCCCCGTGCTGGTGTCCAGGGAAACAGCGATGACACCTGCAGGTTTTCCCCTCGAGCTTCCGCACTCCTGCGGGCAGGTTACTGTCTCCTCAGTGGTTACAGGAGAAAGCTTGAGTGGACGAGTAACATTTCTGTGTTATTTGCAAGCCCAGAGCCAGTAGAGAGCCCAGTTTTGGCATCAAAATAAGCAGTGGTTAACAGTACATACAGAGCTCCAGTAGAGGACGGAGCCAGCTCTGTCGAAGTGTGGTTTAGGCCTGGGGATGTGGCTTGCAGGTAGAGCGCCTGCTTAGCAGGTGGAAGGCCTGGGGTTCAGACCGTAGCATCCCCCTAAAACGACAGTAGTAGGTAGTAGGGATGGGGAGAAATTCGAGTCCTGATCTGCTGCTAGTGGGAAGGTAAAATGATTCAGCTGCTCTGGGAAACCATTTAGCAGCTCATCAAAATGTTAAACATTTACTTTGACTAGTTGAATTCTGTCCTCAAATCCACACTATCCCTGTGTCCATTTTTTTTTTTTTGTAGTGGGAATCGAACTCAGGACCTTGTGCTTGCCAGGCAGGCGCTTATGCCACTGAGCTATATCCCCAGCCCCCTGTGTCCATTTTAATACAAAAATAGCATTACTTGTTTTTCCAAAATAATATTTTAAGGGGCTGGGGATTTAGCTCCGTGGCACAGTGCTTGCCTGGCAAGCGTGAGGTTGTGAGTTCGATTCCCGGTACTGGAAAAAAATAATAATAATAATAACATTTTAGGCTGGGTGTGGTAGTTCACAACTGTAATCCCAGCACTCAGGAGGCTGAGGCAGGAGAATTGCTGAGGGTTTGAAGCTAGCCTGGGCCACAAAGTGAGTTCAAGGCCAACCTGAACTCCAGAGTGAAACCCTGTCTCAAAAAAAGGCAAAATAATATTTTAAAATTGTCCCTAATAGCCAGGCACAGTGACATACAACTGTAGTCTACTTAGGAAGCTGAGGAAGGAGGGTCACTGAAACCCAGGAGCTGGAGACAAGCCTGGGCAATTTATCGAGACCCCATCTCAGGAAAATGGAACAAAGCAAAATGGGAAATGTGGGGTTGCCATGTAATAGGGCACTTTCCTTCCAAGACATGTTCAAGAGGGAAATGAAAGCACGTGCACGTGCGGACTTGTACACAAACACAGCAATATTATCCTTCATAGCCACAAGGTGGGAAAAGCCCAAATGTCCACCAACTAGGAGCACACAAGAAAATACAGCAGAGCCACACCGTGGAGTCCAATTCCATGAAATACTATCAGATACTATGGCTGAATACTATTCAGCCATGAAAAAGGAATGGGGGACTAACACATGCTACAACATTGTGTTAAGGAAAGAAGCCATCATGTAGCACATGATTCTATTTATCTGCCATGTTCAAAACAGGCAAATCCAGAGATAGAATATAATTTGTGTTTCCAAGAGCTGCAGGGCCTGAAAGATAGCTCAGCTGCACAGCCCCTGCCTGCCAAGAGCTGAAGGAGAAGAGGTTGGGGATTAATTGCTAGTGGGTATCTGGTTTCTTTGGGGGGATGATAAAAATGTTCTAAAGTGGCCAGGCGTGGTGGTGCATGTCTGCATTCAAGAGGCTGAGGCAGGTGGATCTCTGGGAGTTTGAGGCCCGCCTGGGCTCCACTGTGGGCTCAAGGTCATCCTGGACCACAGAGTGAGACCCTATCTCAAAAGAAAAAAAAAAGAAAGAAGGAGAGAAAGAAAAAAAAGTTCTAAAATTAGATTGTGGTGACAATTATACAACTCTGTAAGTACTACAAGCATTGAATCATATTTGTTTTATATTTTAATGGATGCACTTTTACGGTATGGAAATTATCTCTCAAGAGAGCCCTTAAAAAATAGCATCCCAAGCCAGGTGTCCAGCACAGGCCCAGGCCCCGCACACGGCAGCTCCTAGCATCACCGTCCTCATCTCTTGTGTGATCATCTTTTCCTCACACCAGCCATCCCAAGTGGGCAATTGGCAGATAAGGCAAGGTGAGGCTTGGGGAAGTGGGGTGTCCGCTGGATGCGAGGCACCCGCCGGTACCTCCATGCCCTGCTGGACGGCCAAGAGCAGGCCCGGGGCTGCTGGGCCTGGACGGAGAGCAGCAGACCCACTCGCCAGGCTCCTTCACAGCCTTGTGGAAAATACCGACTGTAACTGCCGCAAAACCTACGCCTGGAATCCTCAGCTGAGAAATGGGGAGGAGCCTGGGGAGGACCAGGCTTCTGTCTTCCAGTCTGCCAGATGGGCTCCTTCAGTGGTTTTCAAACTGTGCTCCAAGGCACCCTGGGACCGAGGAAAGATTTCAACCACCTTGGAGAGAGGATGTCTCCAAGGTCCCCGGGGACTCCACCCATGCCCCTGTCTCCCTCTCAGGCCGGGCCCACCCCTAGAAGGCAGGATGCGGCTGCCAAACATAGGTAGGGAAGAGGAAGGCGTGGGGGCGGGGTGCACCGGAAGCTACATCCTGGGGACCAGGAGATGGGAATTCCAGGTGCTAGTGACCCAGCTTCCGGCTCCAGCCCAGGGAAGAAGCCTGGGCCGCCTGGCTGGGAGCCCACAGCCCTTCCTGGACCCAGGGCTGGCACTTCCGCTTCCCTTGGGTGGGGGGCTCCTCTGGGGCCTCCTGCTCAGCCCTGAGACTGGAGCTGGATTAGCTGAGATCCTAGGAACCAATCCAGAGTCTCCGAGAGAGGGGAGCTGGGCCTGCGCGGGGTGCCGGGGACGCAGTTCCTAGGCGTCCATTAGGTCTGCATAATTACCCTCTCTGCACCTCCCCGCTTGAAGACCCTAGGCGGGACCTGCAAGGTCAGGCGGGAAGCAAGGGAGCAATAAGGAGCCATGGGGCCTGAGGGCCATGCCCATCTCTGTCCACCCAAAGGGGCAGCTGCACCTTGACCTCAGCTGGCTGCTGCTAGACTTTTGTTTTTCTGTTTTATGAGAAGCCAGAATTCCAGCCGGGCGGGGGGTGGTGCACACCTGTAATCCCAGCACTCAGGAGGAGCAAAGTGAGTTCGAGGCCAACCCGGAATACATGGAAAGACCTGTCTCAAAAACATAAAAACCAGAATCTTGAATTTTAGCGGGAAATTTCTGGACTTTGGGAAAGTGATTTAAAGTCCTGCTAAGAAACAATGATGCCCCCATCCGCCTCGGTGCCAGAGTGTAGGAAGCGCTTTCTGCTGGAGCCAGGTCCGCATTCTGGGCCTGGAAGACTCGCACCCCTGGAGGCAGGCCTCCCGGAGGTCGGTGGAAGAAATGGGGGGCAGCTTCCCCCTCCGCACCCTTTGGTGTGGTTTGATCGTTGGACAGTGACTGTGTTAGTGCCTCAGCTAGCAAGTTGTTCTGTTTATTGGTTCTCATCCTTCTCGCTTCCTCTCCCCTCTCAGGTGTTCCTGGAGTCTGGGGGCCCCTTCCCTGGAGCAAGAGGATGGGGAGCTCAGCCTACTGTGTGCGAGCCCCCCCCTCCCTGGGGACCGGAGCTCCTTCAGTTCTCCCCGTGACTTGCGAGGGGAGGCAGTGACAGTCGGTATTTTCCACAAGGGGAAACTGAGTCACACACCAGCTGGCCGGCTGCTGGTAGAAGCTGGATGCTAGCCTGAGGGCAGGGCTGGCTCCTCCCCTGGCTCCTCCCCCTTTCTCAGTTGAGGATTCCAGGCGTAGGGTTTGCGACTGCCCAGCTCTGGCCCACGGCTCAGCCTCAGGCTCCTTCCAAGCCAGTGTGGCAGTTCCAGCCGCCACACCCCCAAGCTCCTGCCTGCCTTCCCAGCATGGTGCGACCTCCGCCCCAAAGACCACCTGGGTTCCAGCTGAGAGCCTCTGGTCCAGTTGGAGGCTATGGCAGCCCCAACAGATCTTGTATCTGGGACTCCCAGTGCTTCCTGAGAAAGGTCAGACATGGAGCGAAACCCAGGGAACTCCTGGTGTTCCCTCGGGCCACATGCAGCACTGGCAAGCAGAGATCAGCACCCCATTCCTCCTTCTGATGAAGAGCCCCGACAGGTTAGACTATTTGCCTAAAGTCTCAGAACAAAGGGGCAGGAAGATAAACTGCTGTGATTCAGTCACACAGAGCTGTGCTGGATCCAGGAGAAGTGTGCAGAAATCTTCTCACTGTAAAGGCCCCACGCTGAGGCGTTGGGCTATGCAGAAGAAACCCCTAACCTCTTTGTTCAACT